AACCGGAAGTGGCGCTGTAGCTCAAGTGGTAGAGCGCTCGCCTTGAGCTGAAGAGCTGAGGGACAGCACCCAGGCCCAGAGTTCAAGTCCCACGACCGACAAAAAAAAAAAAAAAAAGAAATGTACTCATTATCTTGACCATGTAATTGTAACCCCTCTGTACAGTATTTTCACAATAAAAAAATACTTTATTGATGTTTTAGAGGTGATATACAGTGAAGTTACCTTTACATATGTCAGGTGATAAGTACCTTTCTTTCCTTTTCCTTAGTATCATCTGTTCCCTCATTCTCTCTCTTTCCTTTCTTTCCATCTTCTCCACGAGTTGCTTGGTTCACTTACATCAATGTCCAATGCAGTTGATGAGCCCCACTGCTATATATTTTTACTTGTTTTCCACTGATTCTCAGTAGAATTAGTGGAATCAGTGAAGTGATTTTCATTATAGTTTTAATTTGCATTTCCCTGGTGATTATTGACCTTGAATATTTTTTCATGCATTTGTCATTTGTATAGTCTCTTGAGAAATATCCATTCAGATCACTTACTTTAAGTGAGCTATTTTGGTTGTTTTTGTTGTTAGTGTTGAGTTCCTTATATATTTTGAATATTAGTTCCTTCGGATGAGTAACTGTCAAACATTTTTCTCATTCTATAGGTAATCTCTTCCCTGTTGATTCCTTCATTTCCTTTTTACTTTGATGTGCTTCTCTTAGTCATCATTTGCTTTTGCTACTTAGTATGGCAATAAATGTCAAACTAATGGATGCTGGAACTAATTCTCTAAAGGGTTTCTATTATATTTCCCTTAGTTTTATAGCTTTTAGTTTTGCATTTATGTTTTTGATACATTATGACTTACTATTTGTATATAATGAGAGATAGGCATCTAATTCCTTTCTCCTATAAAAGATACCTTGTTTTGCCAGCACCATTTATTGAAGATATAGCCTTTCTCTAGTGTCTGTTCTTGCTGCTTTTGTGAAAATTCAGTTGGTTGTAAATATATGGGTTTACTTGTTAAGTTCTTTTGTTCTACTCAATTTATCTGTATGATTATTTTTATTCCAGAGCCATTCTGCTTTGGTTACTATACCTTTGTTGTAGGTTTTAAAGTTATATATTGCGATGCCTTCAGCTTTGCTCTTTTGCTCAAGGTTTCTTTGATGATTTAGGAACTTTTGTGGTTCCCTACAAATTTTAGGATTATTTTCTCTTTCTGTGAGCAGTGTTTTTGGTATGGGGTTAGATATTGCATCAAATCTGCATATCACTTTGTGTAGTATAGGCACTTAAAAATACTAATTTTTCTAATCCATAGGGATGGCCTATCTTTTATTCCTTCCTTTCTTTTCTCTCTCCTTCCTTTCCTCTCTCCTTCTGTTCCCTCCTCCATGACCTCTTTGTCTTCTCTTCTTTCTTCCTATCTCTCTTTGTATGTGTGTTTTAATTTCTTTCATCAGTGTTTTGTAATTTTCGCTGAAGAGATCATTCATATAGGTTAGATTTTATTTCTAGGGTTTTTTTTGTAGCTATGGGTGAATAGAATTGTTTTCACATTCATTCTCAGTAATTCCACTACTTGGTATATAATAGTGATTTTTATATGCTAATCATATTCTAAACCTAACCTAGTCTTTTCTGATTTTTTTTTTCCAGACTCTTAGATTTTTCTACATATAAAATCATTTCAGCCAGGTGCTGGTGGCTTACACCTGCGAACCTAGCTACTTAAGAGGCTGATCATGACTCAAATCTAGCCCAGGCAGGAAAGTCTGAAACTCTTATCTCTGATTAACCACCAAAAGCCAGAAGTGGAACTGTGGTTCAAGGGCTAGGATACCAGTCTTGAGTGAAAAAGCTAAAGGACACTGCCCAGGGTCTTGAATTCAAGCTGCAAAACTGGCACACACAGGAAAAAAACATCATTTCATCAGTAGTAATTTGACCTCCTTTTGAATTCTTTCCTCCTGTCTTACTGTCTGGGTAACACTGCCAGTTCTATATTGAATAAAATAGGTAAAAATAGACATCTTCGTCTTGTTTAGTAAGATGATTTTAGCTTTTTCCATTCTGTATTATGTAGGTGGTGAGCTAATCATACATGACCCTTCTGTACATGACCCCTACTGTACATTCTCCTATTTCCTTTCCTACAACCCCCCTCCCTTCTGCCCCCCGCCCTCCACAAGGCTAGCAGTCTACCACTTCAGTCGCAGCTCCACTTCCACATCCCATTTTATCATAATGGAGGTTAAGTCTTAAGTGCTTTTTCCCTATTGAGAGGATTATATAATTTATATAGTTCATCCTCTTGATGTGATATATTAATTTATGTACATTGAACCATCCTTGCATCCCTTAGCTAAATCTTAATTATAATGTGTAATCTTTTTTATGTGCTTTGTATTTAATTTATGAGAATTTTTGGTTATCAGAGATTATTGGTCTGTAGCTTGTTTTGTTTTAGTTTTGGCATGGGATAAGTTCTGTAGAATGATTGTGGAAGGATTGCTTCCATTTTAGTACTTTGGAGAACTTTGACAAGAATTGAAATTCTTTAAAAAAAATTTAAAAATTAAGCAGTGAAGCCATTCATCCAGCCATAGTTTTTCTCTTTGTTGGTAAATTTCATTATATGGTTATGATATGTTGAGATTTTCTATGTCCTTATAGTTTAATTTACCCATTCCTTTTACTTTTCCAGTATGTTGGCATGTTGTTACTCAGATTAGTCACTACTGGTCTTTGGATTTCTGTGGTATTAATAATGTTTTATTTTCATCTCTGATATTGTTTTTCTTCAAAAGTTCAACTCTTTAGGTCAGGCACCAGTGGCTCATGCCTAAAATCCTAGCTACTTTGAGAGATCTGAGGATTGTGGTTTGAAACCAGCCGGGGCAGGAAAGTCCATGAGACTTCTTATCTCCTATTAACCCCCAAAAGGTTGGAAGTGAAACTGTGGATCAAGTGGTAGCACACTAGGCTCAAGCAGAAAAGGCCCAGGCCCTAAATTCAAGCCTCAGGACCAGCACATGCACGTGTGCATGGGCACATACACACATACACAACTCTTCATTTAGTTAATTTTTTTAAAGCCTATTTATTTCTTGTTATTTCACTAACTTTGGATTTGATTTTTTTTTTCTGGCTTTGTGAGTTACAAAATTAAGTTGTTAGTTTGAAATATTTTTTAAAGTAATCACTACTATCAGCTTCCCTCATACTATTGCTTTTGCTGTATCAAACAGTTTTTAGTATGTTTTCATTTGCATTGTTTTAAGAAATGTTTAAATTTTCATTTTGATTATTTTGAATAGCATATTATATACGTAAATATGTTTGCACACTTTCTAAAGATTTTTTTCTATCAGTTTCTACTTTTAGTCTGTTGTGGTCAGGTAAGATATGTATGGTTTTGATTTTTCAAACTAGTTGAGACTTATTATATAGCCTAACATATCATCTAACATAGTTGTTTTGTGACCTAACAATACCTGGATCATGAATGTGTATTCTGCATGAAATGTTGGATGAAATGTTATATAAATGTCTATTCAGTCCATTTGGTCTACAATCTAGGACAGTATTTATTTTTGGTATGTTAGCTGGGATAGAAAATTTATCCATTGATAAAAGTCAGTTGGTGTAAGTCCCCAACTATTATTAGACTATCTCTCTTTTTAAACCTATTTATGTTTGCTTTTTATAGGTGGATGATCTAGCATTGTGTACATATATATTTAAATTATTATTTTCTTTTGCAAAAGTGATCTCTTTTTCATTATTGTTGCCTTGTCTCCTTTAACTTAAGAGCTAATATCTGCTTGCTTTTGCTTTCATTTGTATGGCATCTCTTTTTTCATATTTTTCCTTTTAGTCTGTTTGTCTTTACTTGTGAAGGGAGTTTCTACTAGAAAGCAGATTTATTGTTGCTTTATCTATGCTAGTCTATATCTTTTAATTAGGAAATTTAATCGGCTTATGTTATATGTTACTATTTGTAACCTGGGCATATTCCTTTTTTCTCTTACTGTTTTTCTGGTTGTTTTGTGTTTCTTTGTTCCTTTATTTTTCTCATTGTTTATCTTGTGATTTAGTGTTTGTTGTATTGGTTACATTTGATTCTCTTCTTTCTTGTATATCTTCCCTACTGCTGACTTTTGTATGTTTGTGGGTATTCATGATAGTACCGGTTATCCTTTTTTTTTGGTTGTAGGCCTGGGCACTGTCCCTTGGCTCTTCAGCTCAAGACTAGTGCTCTACCACTTGAGCCACAACACCACTTCTAGCTTTTTCTGTGTTTGTGGTGCTGAGGAATCGAACCCAGGGCTTCAAGCTTGCAAGGCAAGCACTCTACCACTGAGTGACCTTCCCAGCCCCTTATCCTTTCATTTTTACTTTAGACTTTCACCATGTATTGTAGTAGCTAGTGGTAAAGAGTTCCCCATTTTTGCTTGCTTTGAAAAGTGTTTCTTCTTCACTGACAAAAATAGTCTTGCTGTTTTTTCTCAGGACATTAAACATATCCCATTCTTTACTGGCTTCAATTTCTGCTGAAAAGTCTGCTCTTGTTCTAATGAAGATTCTCTTATATATGACTACTACTTTTACTGTTTTAGAATTTTCTCGGAGTTTAAACAGATTGACTATAATAGCCCACAGAGGAACTCTTATATTCATCAAATATATTAATGGTCATTTGAGTAGACCTATATCCTTTTTTTCTTACAACTTCTACATTTTGTTATAAATCATAAGGTTTTAAGCAGTTTTGTTGACTTAGTTTTCTATGCTTTTTCTCTTTTTATATTAATTATTAATAAGATGAAGCTTGCTTATATAATGGTGTCTTAGAGTTTTCAAAGAATTCCTTCCTTTTACTAAAAAAATTCCACCTAGGTTATTTCAAAAGACTTACTTTCAAGCTCAGAAATTCTTCTGCATGCTCAGTTCTTCTGTTGAGGATCTCAGCCATATTTTTAAATTTTCATTTATTATGTTTTTAACCTAGATGGTTACTAAGTTCTTTTTTAACAGCTCTATATATGCTTAATTTCTCATTTGTAACTTGAACTCTCTCCTAATTTCATTGAATTGCCTATTTTCTTTTATATCTCATTAGGTTTTTCTTAAAAGATTATTCTTGTGACTTCATTATCAGGCAGTTCATTTCCTTTTCTTTGTACTGTAGCTAGAGATTTATCCTGTTCTGTTGGAGACAGCAGGTTACCAAGAAACACAGTATTTCCTAGTATAGAGGGTATGGCTAAATGAGCTGTTGGACAACAGTACTTCTTGTAGACACATAAGGTTCATTGGGAAGGTGTGTTTGCTCCTAAGAGGCCTCAGTGGGAGAATCACTCAGGACAAGATACTTGTTTCTAAGTGAATGGGTGAGTAAGAACAACTCTTGATTAGAGTCATGATGGCTGTGATTAAGATAGAAATGGTTTGTTTGTTCTTTTACCTTGTGCTTGTCAAAGTGATAATGCCTCCTTGTATTGTTTGTTTTGTTTTGTTTTACTGGCTCTGAGGTTTGAACTTGGGGCTTTATACTTGCTTGCTAGGCAGGATCTCTTAATTGCTAGAGCCAGAATTATATGGTATTTGTGTCCAGTCCTAAGGCTTGAACTATGGCTTGGGCACTGGGCCTGAGATTTTTTTACTCAAGGCTAGCATTCTTTATCACTTGATCCATTTCCAGCTCTCAAAAATAACTACCAAAAATAGTTAATTGGAGATAGGCTTTTCACAGGCTTTCCTGCATGGGCTGGCTTTGAACCATGATCCTCAGATTTCAGCATCCCAAAATGATATTTCTAAATCTTTAAAAAGTACTTAAGTATTTCACATGTTAACCTTTGGAAAGTTTAATGGAAAAGTCTTGGGTATTTTAAACTTACTTTTGGTATATTAAATATAATGAGTTATACTAGCTGAGCTTAAGTAGGACAATAAGTTGGATTATTTTATCTTTGAATGATAGAAATCATTTTAAAATTTCCGTTTCTTATTTTCCAGGCCTTTTTATGGATATCATCAGAAGGAAAGACACTTCGTGAAGATCTATCTTTACAATCCTGCAATGGTGAAAAGGTACAAAGATAAATAAAAGCAAATAACTATCACTTAAATATACCATGGAATGTTCATATATGTGTAGAGAAAGAGGCCATGTCTTGCCATGTTTTGGATTCTAAAGATGCTATTTTAAAGTTAGAAAGATGTTATGACTCCCAGCTACTTATTTCCTGTCTTAGAATGTCGAGAGTTTATACAAGTATGTAATATAGTCATTATTATGTTACTGCCTTAGCCAGATCAAATGCTCAGTACAAAAAACAAACTTATTTAATAATGAGAAATTTATAAAATTGAGACTACTAGATGTTAATGAAATTTTATATCTTAGATTTTTTTGGGGGGGGGTCTGGTCGTGGGGCCTAAACTCTGGGCCTGGGCACTGTCCCTCAGCTCTTCAACTCAAGGCTAGCGCTCTACCACTTGAGCCACAGCGCCAGTTCCGGCTTTTTTCTTTTTGCTTTTGTGGTGCTGAGGAATCGAAGCCAGGGCCTCAGGCATGCAAGGCAAGCGCTTTACCACTGAGCCACCTTCCCAGCCCCTATATCTTAGATTTTTGATGTTGTTGGTGTGGTTGGCTTTTTTTTCTTCCCCTTAATCATTCTTTTCCTCTAGTTTATTTCAATTACATTAGATTACTGAGAGCAGATTCACAGGTTTTTCCCCCTCTGTGGTGAAAAACCAATGTAAAATCGGCCTTGGAGGAGTGCTGAATATTGCTCTTTTTAGAATATTTACTTTTCAGTAGATACTGGGTTTGAAAATTGAGCTAAACAGTAAAACACAAACTATATATTTTCCTAGAGTAAATTAAAGACTTATGAGAGTCAAATCTACCAATCACATGAGACTTACTTTAGATTAAACCAGTTGAGTATTTGGAATTATAGCCCATTGATGGTTTCCCTCTGTGTAAAAAAAGTAAAATCTGGTTTTCCTACAGTCTACCCAACCTTCCCCAAAATAGCATATTCCATAGAGGGTACAAAAATTTTTAACTTTCTAATTAGAGTTTGATACATACTACATTTGGGGAGTTAGAATACTTAATAGAATACTTGAAGTCAATTCTTATGAATTCTTAACCATCTCATACAACAATGGTAAGAAGTAAACCTCACCTGGGCACCAGTGACTTATAACTATAGTGCTAGCTACTGTAGAGGTTGAGAGCAGGAGAACTGTGGTTCAATGCCAGCCTGGGTAGAAAATCCATGAGACTCCATTCATTGGAAAGAAGCTGGGTGTGTTAGTGCACACTTCTCATTAAGCTAGGATGGGTAATCTAAAAAATAGGTAGATTTGTAGCTTCCTGTTTGAGCCTGGGCAGGAAAGAAAGACTCTTTCTCAAAAACCATCTGCAGCGGGTGCTGGTGGCTCACACTTATAATCCTAGCTACTCAGGAGGCTGGGATCTAAGGATACATGGTTCAAAGCCAGCTGGGGAGAAAAGTCCCTATAAGACTCTTATCTCCAATTAACTACTTAAAAACTGGAAGTGGAGCTGTAGCTCAAAGTGGTAGAGTTCTACCCTAGCCCAGGGACAGCACCCAAACCCTAAGTTCAAGCCCCCCACCACCAAAAATAAATAAACAGCACACATTTATAAAGGAATGAAGTCATAGCTCAGTGGTAGAGCATACACATGTGTGCACATGCTGACACACACACACACACACACACACACACACAGAGGCTCAGTGCTAGAGCACTTGTCTAGCAAGCATAAGGCCCTAAGTTCAAAACCTAGTTCACTAAAAACAGAATAAGAAGTATATATTGTCTTTCCCCCTTTCATCTACAACATCACAAAGTATGTTAGAATATGAATCATGAATAAAATTTGGATGTCTTTTACAAATAGCCTACTGTAATTCTTTAAGTGTGAATGTAGAAGAGGTTTAATTGAAATGTCTTAGGTAGTTTTAATTTTTTTTGTAGTTTGCTTGCAGCTGTAGAAATCAAATACTTTGTAAACTACTCCCAGTAAGTTTGTTTTAAAATATATAGTTGGTCACTGTGCTGGTCTGAGCCCGCCTGATTTATTGATGGACTTACTGATTTATTTATTTATTTTTTACAAATATTTATGAAGAACACATTATCTGATGTATCATAGATACTCCTGGGTAAAGTAATAAGCAGAGTTTTGGTTCCTGCCCTCTTTCTACAGTTTGATTACTTATATATATTTAATATGTATATTAATATGTATATTAGTCATTTGAATTAGAATATTTAATATCTAGTAAAGGTCCAGACTCCCAAACTAGATTGCATGTATTTAAAATCTAGCAAGATATTTAACCTTTATACATTTCCTTCCTTCTCTAAGTAGGATTGATGTTAGTAGACATTGTTCTGATGACTCCATGTATTAATATCTGTAAATCACTCAGAATAGTACTGGACACATTAAAAAAGTGGTGAAACATGCCTGTAATTAATCCAGCAGTAAGGAGGATCTGGGGTTTGAGGCCAGCCTGGACTACATAGTAAAGGCCTAGAGGGATGGATGGATGGATAGGTAGATAGACAGCTAGATATCTATAAGTGTTAGCTATATCTTACATGTAATATATTAGAAGTATGACTTAAGAAATCTCATTCTCCTAAGTCCCTTCCCTAAAGGTGGTCACATTTAAGTTTGCTATACATCCTCCTTTACACTTTAAATCATGTCTAGATTACTTGTACAATGTAACTATGCAAATAATAAGAGGGGGAAAAGTACATGTTCAGGGCAGATGCAATTTTTCCCTTTTAGAATTTTTTACTTACATTGGTTGAGTTTGTATGTGCAAAATCTCCAAATATGGGAGACTGGTTATGCTTGGTCATTTGTTAGGATCATTACTTCCCTGAATTGTACTCTTTTCATCACACTAAGGAACTTGTCTAAACTCTGAGATTTGAATTTCTTTTCTGACTAACATTTTCTTCTTTGCCCTCCCTCCCTCCC